TATATCCGTGAATAAACGGCTTATGTCTAGATAACTTCTACTTTGCATAAATCTATGAAGAGGGGCTGCATCGCCCTGCAGCCAGTGCAATATTAAATTGTCTCTGCAGAGCAGCTTGGCTACTTAACCCTCTCCCACTCTCTCCCAGTCGCTCTCTCTCTCTCTGTTTCTTTCACTCTCGCGCTGTCAGTGCGCCGCATGTGCATGTGCAATGCGCGCTGAGGCATTTGGAGGCTTAACCGGAAACTTTTAATTTAATTAATTTATACACAAAGGCGCAATCAACAAAAGACGATTGCAACAGTTCCCAACGCCCGTCCGCCCAGCCACACCCCCTGCCCCATGTCCCCTGCTCACTGCTCACTGCCCACTGCCCAGCCTGACATTTGCGAATGCATGCGAATTGCGGTTAGAGGGCAGCGAGTGCATCTGCTGATCAGATATATGGATAGATAAACCGAACGGCAGCCGCTTTCAAGATGATTTTCTGGCCCGACAATGCAATGCCCGATTTGCTCTGAGTAATGCGAATGCTTTTGCCATAATTCATGAACAGCGGGCGGCAATTCGTTTTGCCAATGGCATATCTCAATTTGCTTAGCGTTTCCCTAATTTCCCTCGCATATGCCATTTTCAACTGTGCTGCATGCGCCACGTGCAGCGAGCAGTTGCTGCCGCTTGGCCGTGGCCTTTGGCAACAGGTGAACATCAAAATTTTGGCATTCGTTATTCCATTTGATGAGCTGCTCGTGTATAGATTTAGATTCACAATTTTCCTCGATATTTATTTTTCTAATGCTAAACCAACAACAACTACGGCAAATATAGCAGCAAGTTGAGTGGCCCGGACGGAAGACGCAATTAGCGGGCAACATAATTAATTTATAAAATATCAGCTAACCATAAGGGCAGACAGGCCGCCACACACACAGACACACACACACACACACACAGACTTATACACCTCATCATGCAACAGGTCAGCGCAGAATGAAATGAGCAGCATATAAATATTTATATTAGAATATACACATACATACACATACACACATATATACATATTTATGTATGTAAGCATATATATTTGTATAAACTGCGAGCATAAAACACATTCTACACCCAAGTTGTACGAGTTTTATTGATTTTCTCACTGTTTTTGGTCAGCGCATATGTTCCCAGTATTGAAATATTAACGCCCTGCTCAGCATACGAAATTTCATATGTCTTTTCGCTTTGTATTTGGCCAAACTCAAAGTCATTTGAGTTCAATTGAAATTTTGCTACGCTTAGATCAAGCTCAACTTTGCCAACATGTATTAATTATAAATGGAATTGTTTATTGAGCATTGAGATTAAGCTGGTTGAAGCCAGCCAAAGGTCTGAAGTGTTTTCCAAGAAATTCATCAATATATCTGTACATCTATATATGTATTATATGCAAAACTCATAAAAACACTCAAATTGTTAGCTCAAATAAGTTAAACAATTTGACTGAATAAAGTTATTTAAAGTTGAAGATCTCTGGGTTGTTAGACTTATATGTATAGCAGAACGCTTGATATGTATATAATAATAAATATATATAAGAATACATATTCATATACATACAAATAGGAATTACTCCATTTTCATTTATAGTCTAAATTATATTTTTTCTATTATTTATTTTGTTGTATTAGTAGAAAATATTTAAATATTTGCAAATTTTTACCTGCTTCAAGTTTTCTAATTTCGTTTTCCTTGATTGTTTCATATAATTTCTGATGATATATATAGTCGAACAATTCAAATCACTCTTTGCCCACTTTTCACTTTTATTTTGTTGATTAAATTCAATCTAGATCTGGTTTTCACTTGACTTAAAAAATGGCGTTTCACTGTGGCACCTGCACACACCTACACACACCTCCACACACGCACACACTAATACACTCACACAGAGAGCGAGGGAGAGAGAGAGAGAGAGTGAGAACGAGAGAGAGCGGTACCTGTTGCGCCTGGCTTTGGCTTCGAATCGCGCTCGATATTGGCGCGCTAATTTAATTGACACTCGGCGATTGATACGGCTATAAGATTTGATGGAAAACTTTTCGGATCGCGTTTCATTGACAAATTATTGACGTGAATTTCGTCTGATTTGCAATCGGGATTTGAATTTTTATGATGAGCCGCTGCTTCGAAGTTGAGCCAATATTATTTTGTTTTCTTTTTTTTTTTAATCTTATTTTTGTTATATTTTTATTGGTTTTTTTTATTATGATTTATTCGCGCCTGGTGCGAAATTCATCCGCGCTGCCCAACGCTCGCTGGCAAAATGCGCAAACAATTCGCTGGGATACGACGTCGCAGTCGCAGTCGCTGTCGCTGCCGCTGCCACTGCCGGATAGCAAATGTGATAACGTTGCCAGCAACAGCGACACGACGCGGATTCGACTGGATTCGGCAGGCAGGCGAGCAGAGCCCACAACAATGCCGCAAGCGAGCCCGAACATGAGCCCGAACCCGAACACGAACCCGAACCCGAACTCAGTCGCAGTCGTTCCCTCTGGTGCATGTTGAATATTGCACTCTGTAATACGTATATGTGTGTGTGTGTGCGTGTGTGTGTGGTGAGTTTTGGGTGCTCATTTCTACGGCTGCTTCGCCGCTGTCATTTATATTTTGCAAGCGGCATAAAAGAGAAGCAGGAACAACGGAGACAGCAAATCTGTGAATGTTAATGTTTATTGTGTGTGCCTATATTAAGCATACGCAGCGTTTATTTTTGTTTGTGGAATTATGAACTAGTCTAAATATTGGGGACATTTACAACTGTCGCATAATTGAGCTATAAACGCGTTTATTTTGTCACAGTTCTTTGACATCGAAATGCGTAAATTATTTATTTCACTCTGTCGGCTGTCGGCGTTTTCAATCAGCATCGACACTTGGTTGACTGATTGAAATTAATGGGCAATCCATTCTGATCCAACGGGAACCGCTTGCTGCTGCCGCACCACTGACACTGTTGTTGTTGTTGTTGCCACAGATCGATTTGAACTGCGGCGCCACCTTGACTGACATTGCCCCAATGCCGGGCAGACCCTGGGACTGACGGCCGCCACGCCAAGCAACGCCCGGTACATAGCTCAATCAAACGCCTCTGCAAATGGCCAAAATCAATTTGTGCGATTTTGTTGCTTTATGATCGCTGCCACCGCTGACGGCGACGCTGACCGAGGCAGTTGATGGCCCCAGCTTGTTAGCAGTTCAATCAAAATTGTTGGCCGCATATTAATTGACAGCGCCGCAACTGCTACTGTCCGCGATCATATTATATCGCATTGTTATTAATGCTACATTAATATATACATATATAGATATACATTGATAAATCATTTAATTGACATTTGACGCACGTGATGTGCCTTCAGGTTGTTATTGCTTTGCTGCTTATATCTTACCCTAAAATTTTATATTTGCACTTGTACGATCTACTTATATTTGTATGTGGCTAAGGAGGAATTTTGCATTATTTAGGTGTGTAATCCCTAATGGACTGTTTACTGAACCTTGATTAAATATTCTATAAATTTCAAATATTTTTTTAAGTTTTTAATTTTAAAAGCCAGCTGTCAGCAGTATTTTATTTAATATATTATAAAGCTTTTTGAAGAGCCGCATTAGCTGCCCTAATGGTGTGTGTATATGCTGAATTTTTGTTATTCTTATACTGGTATAAGTAGAAGCATTGCTAAGCGTGCTTTCGTTGAGGTTGTTGTCTTTGGTTATACTTTTGTGTTTGTCGTTAAGTTTGTGCGTCGGTTGTTGAACAAGAATTTTGTAGCAGGAGGTGAGGTGGGTGTCCCTGCTTACAATTATAATAACAATAAAATTTTGTATAAGACGCGGGCTTGTGACTTTGCTAATAATTATAATAAGCAACAGCTATAAAGTATAAGACTTACACCTAGATCATTTTTAGAGTATCTCAATATATTAAAATATATATTATAAAAGTCATTTTTTATTTGAAAACAAAATAAATTTTTGTAAAAATTTATCCATTATGTATTTAAATTATAAAATTTTATTGACATCGCCACTGAGTTTGTAATTCTGCGCCACATGCCAGCCATTTGGCTCCAGCATGTCTGCACTTTGCAGTAACCTGAACCTATGTAATGGGAAATAAGATCTCTTGGGATCTGGGCACTACAACTAACAGAGCTCCGCATTCAATGAATGCTTACCAAACTGAGAATTGCGATGAGTAACTCGCTCTGGCAAGTTGTTGGGTTGGGGATATGGTTGGGGCTGGGTGGCGGATGGCACATGTGTCGTTTCGGGAGCTGCCTTCAAACACACATTAAGAGATTGTTTACAAATTGTGTGCTGGCTGGTTGTGGGAATGCTCGGCGACCGAGTCGAACCAAGTGACACGATCTGCACTTGGCTGCGCTGGCAAAGACTGTGACAATTGTCATATCGGGTTACCAGCAATAAAAATAGCAAATATGCCCCAACAGAAAATATGTGGAGTACGCGGATGGACTCGCAGTTACCCTATAAAAAAGACTCTAAAGAAATATGTAATATTAAAATATTTAAAGATTTTTTTTTAATTCATTATATAAATGATGAAAATCAATTTATTGTTAACTATATATATTAGATTCCCTCAGAAATCAGTGCATATAAAATGAGTATTTGATTTCACCTGATGCATATATTTGAAAACTTTATAGGGTAAATAAATATTATTGTGTATATATCATATCTTTATGATTTTATACATACAGACACACACACACACACACACACTGTCACGTCTGCTGAGCTGCGCATTAAGCACTTTTTAATTAATAGACGCTCCGGCAGTAGTCCAGACACTGCTGCTCTGGGCGCAGGCACAGTGGCTCAGTGGCTCAGTGTTTGCTCAGACATCGCGAAGATGTGGCGCAACGGCAACGAACTAGAACCAGAAATCAAATTAAACTAAGCAGAGATTGGCTCCAATTCCATTCAGCCATTCAGCCATTGAGTACGCCATGTGCTGGTGCGCACGTGTCTATTGGACGGTTCTGCAGAATCTGTTCGCGCGCCTCTTCAACAGCCTCACGGATCGCAACTGCGCCAGTGGCTATCGGCGGAGCTGCTGTGTCTGCTGCGGCAGCTACAGGCGCCAGCCCGGTGACAGCGACGGCGACGCCGACGTCGACAGCGACGCGGACAAACAAGTTTCAGAATCGATGGTTGATGACGACCTGCGACGAGCAGCACCACACGATTATGTCATAGTGGGTGAGTTCTGAGCGAGACACTTTGATAATAAGCTTTCCGGCATGACGAGGTGCCAATACACCTATAGTTTAATCAAACAGAACACTTTCTTTGTTCTATATTGATAGTGGGATATAGATTGGTAACAAACTTGACCAACATTGTTTGTTATATGTTAACGACGTGTTGTTCATCAATCTAGAGAATTGTATTTATATATTTGTAGCTTGGGTGAGTTTAGAAAGATTAGATTATTAGATTCAACTTCAGATACTTCTGGAATTGGAGAGAACGAAATAATAATTATAATAATGCCAAATATTTCTACTCTTTACATAACAGAAGAAAAAGTTAATGCCATATTTGTGTCCCGAAGAAGAAGCTTCTTAATACATACAAAAATGTTCCCGATGGTAAGATCTGGTACAATCTGAGAACTGTTTGTACTGCTTACCACAAAGAAGACTATGCCAGACTCCTCAGACTTATTTAGAATATTACATATGGCCTTTCTCAAATACATACACATACACACACTCACTCACACTTGCTTATTTAACTGCAGATGAAGCCGATGCCAACTATGTGGAGATCGAGCAGCGTCAGATCGAAACCGAGCAATATTACTTCACCGTGGACCGCAGCATGGCCGAGCGCATGCTCTATCAGCGAGAGGACGGCGCCTGCCTAGTGCGTCCATTCAAGGCGACGGACGTGTGCATCAAGTACATCGTGAGCATCTGGGCGGGCGGCCACTATTATCACCTGTTTGTGCGGCAAATTGATATGCGCCAGAGATTCGCCATTGGCCAGTGGAAGCCGCACGAGCGCCACTTCAGCTCGCCCTGCGAGATCATTGAGTTCTATGCGGAGCACCCGCTGCTCTGCACCAACAAGGAGCGCAGCCACAGCGTCCGACTGAAGCCCATCACTTATGCCTAGCCAAAATATCGACATCTTATGCTTAGAGTTTAGGTTAAGTTTATTGGAATTACGAGTAAGAGTAAGATAAATTATGTACAAATTGCGTAACTTAAGCTAGTTAAGTAGGCGGCTGGGTCAGCTAGGTGGCCACGACTGCCTTGAAGGCGCACTGGTTGTTCTGCATCAGAGCGGGCCAGAGGAAGGCCTTGATCAGGTCCGAGCGACGATCCGACTGCGGGTGGCGTTCGTGCTTCTCGGGACGCAGAAAACCTAGATAATAATAACATAAAAGTAAATTTCATGAAATATGTAAATAAACATTTATTTAGTGCATCATCTTACCCAGATTGAAATCAGTGTCCAGATAGTAGGGCGCCTTTTGGTTAATCATGCGCCAGGCCAGTCGCACGCAGGCGCTGACGAAGTGCGTCAGCGGCGGACAGGATTCCAAGCAGGGATACTCGTGCAGCGTGGACAGCACCTGATTGAACACGGATCGCTCGATCTCGCCCAGCGGAAAGCTCTCGGTTGTCTCGTGCAGATGATGGCGCACCGAACGGTCCAGGGCCAGGGCCGTCTCGCTGCTGCTGTCCAGCGCGCAGTTGAGCACGCGGCGCACCTCCAACACCTTGCGCTCCCGCATGCCGTGGCACAGGCGAAAAGAAAGCTGCACAAAATATGAGAAAGAAAGACAGAAAAGAAGGTTTGAAATATGCCAATCATTACCCATGGCTCAATAGCTGCCCACGGCCAAAGACCGGGCCGAGCCGAGCCAGGCCAGAGCAGCTGATCCGGCCAATTGCCGGTGTCATTCATCTATCTAACCACTTGTCTCTATTCAGCGCCGAAGATCGAAAGTTATTTATCGACAGCCGGCAGAAACAAGCTCAATCGCCAACGTAATTTCTCAGCCCCGCGGCGCTTTACTTTCTTCTATAACACTTAATCAGCGCCACGAAACTCGAGCAGCTGCGGCGCCAACTCCAGCTCCAGCTCCAGCTCCAGTTCCAGCGCTTGCAGCGTTGCGTTGCACTGCAAATTGATATTTTGCAATAACAATTTGCGGCCAGCCTTTAGATTTCTCAAACTCAAGCGTGGGCTAAACAAGCAAAGTCACAAACATCGTAATCAACGTGAATTGGCAAAATATTTAAAATGATTTTCTCATTTTGAATTTCAAATAATTTATAAACTTTTCAATTTGGCGCAAATTTTAAATCATTCTTGATCTTTAACAACTCAATAAATATAGCTGTTTTAAACATTTAAGAATGTATATAAATTTGATATTCCCATTTGATTAATGACTCCAATTTGTTATGTTAATTTAATGATTTTTGTATGGTCCAAATTTGCTTTGCTCTCGAATTAGGTAAAAGTTCTTAGATTTTCTAATTTAAGTTTAACATAATTTATTCCTATGCTTTAAGCAAACTATTGAACTTAAGCAAAAACATTTTATTTATAATCAAATTATGCATATCTATTAATTTATCTCTTTTTATGGACCAAATTGAGAGACATGCAAATCACCAGTTAACTGATTCCCTATTTTCTTTGCCATATGCGAATGCTAATCCAGCCGTTTAGTTCGTATATATCTATCTCTAATATATTAAATAAATAAAAAAAAAATTA